CCCCCCCACACACACTCAATCCCACCTCCCAGCTGTGCACTGTTGTGGTCAATATTACTGATAAAGTCTTTAAAATAAGTGCTGTAAAGGTGCAGGGGTCCCTTAAAGTACAGGGCCCTGTGTGGCGTTACAAGAGGTACACACTTAAAGCCAGCTCTGATAACCACACTGTGACATTTGCAACCTAAACATGAAAAATAAATAAAGCCTGGGCTTATAATGCTGAATTTTCTGTCCTCTGCAGTTTTTGAGTCAATCTAAAAATCAAGGAAAGAGAAGTTGAGCTGGAAGGGGAATTAGCTGTTGTTACTAACAAAATCCACAAATGGTAAAAAATACCTCTAGGTGACATTTCTCATGTTAGCATATGCACATGTGCACAGCTTGATCCCCAGTGATCATAATAATAATGACCAAGCCCTTTTACAGCATCATTTGACCATGAGTTTTAAACCTCATTGCTTACATGCACTAATTAAACTTCACAACAGATCTGTGACATAGGTGAGAGGTCTAGAGATCAGTCCATTTATTACTAAGATGCAGCTGCCTCTGGGATGGAACAAGACAAAGCTGCACATAGCAATATCAGGCAAGACTTTAAGACATAAAGTGAACTAATGTACCTCACAGTGGGAGTTTAGAGAGAGGGAAGGAAAGGACCTAACTGGAATTTGGCAGTGAGGTTAACACCCTGAATCTTGTGAAAAGAAACCAGTGATCATTACTGACTCCAAAAGTTCATGGCCTTGTTTCAGCCAAGAGCCTGGCCCAACACTCCTTAGCATGAGCAAGCACTGCCCATTGAGTTACCAGTTCAGTTTTTCCAGTGAGTTGTGGTTGGTTTTTCCCCTTCTTTGTGTAAAGTCAAAGGCAACATTACCCTGCATTGTAGTGTGGCAGCATTTTGACCTCACAGCACTGTGCTCAGTGACTCCAGCTGGTCCACGGCTGCGGGAATCGGGCCTGGTGTTTTCCCGAGAGGTCTCTAGGACAATTATATCCCTGAGGCCAGACAGGATCCCAATGATACGGCTGTAGCTGGGGAATGTGTTGGGTTCACTGCTCTCCTGCAGGGCGTGCATGTTGGTTTTGAGATAAAGGGGGGAAAATCAACAAAAGCGTTTTCCTTTTCAGTCTCATCTCCCTGCCTGGATCTCGGCAGGGTCAGTGCTGAGCTCAGATGGCAAGGCAGGCAAGGGATTTTACCCAAAGACTTGTCAGAAGGCTGGTGAGGGAAGAAGATCTTTTGGAGAGGGAGGGCAGATGTGGAAATTCACCTTTTTTCCCAATTTGTCTTCAGTCTGTGGATTCCACTGAAAAATAAAGGAAGGATATGTTCCTTTTTTGCTCTTCTCCCCTTCCTGTTACTTCCCCCACCCTGATGAGGCCCCATTTAGGCAGGAAGGTGAAAGGGCTTCTCTGGCAGCTGCACAGGCTTTATTTTCACTTAAAATAAACATAAAAATATCCAGCAACATGAAGCGGTGCAGCTAATGGGATGTAGGAGGCTGCAAGGGCTGCTGTGCTGGATGAGGCAGACAGCTCAGTCTTGCAGCTCAGACAATATGTCCAACCCACCCACTCCTGCTCTGCCCATGTTAACCTGGGAAATGAAGTGGCATGGGCATGCTGGGCTTCTGGCATTGTCCAGAGCAGCAGCTTAGGGCACTCCAAGGGTGTCTGTCTTCACCAGCTCATTTCCAGAGTCGATGTGTGCAGAGGAGGAGCAGATGGATAGGTGCTCATTGCCTTGGTGGCAAGACAAAGTCTCTACTGCTGCTGTGTTGTCATGTCATTAAGAGCTCTTTGGGGGAGGGCAGGCACCACAGGCTGGGAGGAAAGAGGTCAAATGTGTAGAGCAATGCACATTGGTCTGCACTGCCATCATGTAGACAGTGTATTGCTAAAGCAGCCATCTGAAGAAGGGATATCACGGAAGGAAGATGAATGAAGACTTTGTCCTCTCTGTAGGCAAAGACTAGGATCTGCAGCAAAACTCCAGCTTTATGTCGTCTGGTAAATGCTCCAAGTGCAGGGGCTTCTGTGACCTGCTCCCATAGATTAACATAACCTTGATTTTTCCATCATTCCATTCCCCACCCCTTTAGTGTGATCTGTCGCAGCACTAAGCACTCTCTTGGGATATGGGAGGTTTCTAGGCCTGTAGCTTAGATGGCAGCAAAGGTCTGCAGCCAGTTAGACTGAAATGCTGGATAAGTAAAGATGGAAAAGACAAGCAGGCTAGACAAGTGATTGCACCCGGAAGGGCCCACAGTTGCTGGGATAAGGAAATGTCAAAATTGTTGGGACTCTCTGTTTTTGTGGCATTCGGGACAGGAAGGTTCCACAGCAGTTGGGAATGAGAATTAGGACTGGAAGGTCTGTTGGCAGCTGGGACTAGAACGTTTTAGTTCTATGTCACCTGGGAAAACGAAGCTGGAGAGAAGAGACAGCCTGTAGGAAGTATATTGTGATGAAAAGGACTGACTGTGGGCAGGCCTGGGAGGAAACTCAGATGTTACCTATGAAAGAAGAGCAAACTGGGAACACAAGGGCAAAAAAGAGGAAGAAAGCAACAGAACTTGGGTGTGAGATCTGTGTGAAGGAAGATCACACTGACAAAGTCAAGTTTCAGCTTCTCTTAATGTGCTCAGAGCCCAGAATTCCTCTTTCAAGAAACCTCAGTCATGGTCAGGGGCAAACGGGCTAAGGCCTGGAACTCCCTGCACTGAAGTATTTATACGTGAATTAATCAATCGCCTCCCAGGATCAGTTAACATCATAATTTCATGACATTTTGCACTGAAGTGGCACATCCCACTGTAGCATAACTGCTTTGCTAAAAGCAGCCTTGAAGGCAAAACACAGGGCTGGTTCACAGGTCTCAAGTGTGATTCCAGGCCCCATTTTTCATCTTGTGACCTAGACTGGCTGAACATTATGCAGCCGAAAGAAAAATTAAGGTTAGCCTAGAAATACCAGGATAGGTTGCAAGTCTGCTTGCCTATCAGCCACAATCCTTACTTCAGGCAGCAGAACCACAGGGAGAAAACTTAACACACTGTGGCCTCTCTGGCAGCAGCCTGAGGCCCAGCACATTAAAAAAAAAAACAAAACCCTAGACGTCTCCTGCAAGCAGGAACTTGTAGGCATATTGCCTGACAGGAAACAATTTCCAGCTTACAACAGGAAGATCGCTGAGCTGGAAAGAGGTGTCACTTGACTGAGAACTTCCTTTAGCAGCTATCTTGAGTGAGGACAACAATCCCAACGGTATGTGTTGCGTATAATGAAATTTGCTGACAGTTTTGTATGATGATTGTTTTTCTCTGCGTGGCACAGAAAGCATGTGTGCTCCTAAGCAAAGGATTAAACATTCCACCTAAATAGCAAACATCTGCCCTGGAATGCTTGAAAGTGTGTAATGTGGGCCAGTGGATCCAGAATCAACAAAAAGTATCACTGGGAACATTTAACAAGGCTGGCTGGTCTTCAGTTTTCGGCGGCAGGGAGTTTGCTGTGGGTAAATTATAACACAGTTCCCAAGTGCCTGGACAAAGCACATAGGCAGACACGGTTCTTTGGGTAAATCTGGTATCTTTTATTAGACCAACTCAGATAGTTGGAAAAAATTTTCTTAGCAAGCTTTTCGATATAAATACCTTTCATGAG